ACAATAGCACACATGAAAACTGTGGCCAAGCGCAGGCAATTCTGAAAGCAAACAATGAAATGGCGATTCCCGTTCGGTCCCCATGTGTTGCCTGGTCTAGTCGAGAGGTGGCGTCCCTGGCGGCAGGGAGGCTGGATTAAAATGATCTCTAAGGTCCCTTCCAGCTTAGGCCATTCTACGATTCTATGATTACTTTCTTCCTTAAAAGAAACATCAGGAATGTCAAGCTTTTTTTTGACAGGGGGGACAAACACAAAATATGAAGGAGAATATGAGAAAAAAATACGATTAAATGAAGAGATTTCTGAGATATGTACCGAAACCAGAATGGATTAGAGTCAGAGGAACCAACGTTAAAGGACCAAAGAGCAAGATTGCTTTATTGAATGACTGGACAAAGAGGAATTAGATTCAGAGTGTGGGAAAAGCAGACAGGCCTCTCTGATGCTTATCCATTTTTCCCTGGCCTGCTTGTAAATGACATCCTGAAGGTGAGCACTGACAAGAACTAAGCATATTTCCTAAAATCATCTGTTTTGAGACTTAAAGGTCACGATTCCTTACGACATTCTTCTCACAGGGAAGATTGCAGTTTCATCCACTTTGGCTCAAACGCTGGAGGACCTTCTCTCTCCCACTGGTGCACTAACACCATTCCATGAACTTTGCCTCTTGTGCCCACTGTCCGGCTGCTCTCACAATCCTCCTTTCCCTAGTCACACCTTTTTCTTTTTCTTTTTTTTTTTTTTTACTTTTTCTTTCCTGCCGCAAACTGCATTTCTCTCTGTACTTCCTCTTGTGCACTGGTTTGGCAGTCTGCTGCTAATCCCTTGTCTTGCCAGTTGAACCACCTCTTGGCTTCACATTATAATTTAAAAGAAATATACTGCCATTATCTGCACTATTTCCTTGCTTCAGAAAGTAACATTTCATCTCTCTTAAAATGGCACCTCCCGAATCCTACCAGACTCCATTTGAAATGCAAATATTGTAGAGGAAACTACCAGTCATCTATTTTTAGAAAACCCCTCTGCTGCTTCTAACAAAGACTTTTAGATCTGCAGTCCCAGATTTCAATACCTCTGATATCTAAAGCGAAAGCCAAAAACCAACCATTTTAAAATTCTCTCAGAAGTACAATCCTGTGCAATTTTGACTCTCTGAAATCTAAAAAGCGTATTTGGAGAATAAACTGTACCTTACAAATAATTAAGAACTAACGCCAACAGTTAGAGATCACTATGGTAGGTACTATGCACATATTTAATAAGAACTAAGCTTTTATCCTAAAAGCTTGCAATTAAGCTTATCAAAAGTGACACAAAGACATGAGAAAGAGACAAGGTAATAATACATTAATTATTATTAGCATAAAGAAGAGTCGTAGCATACCATTTGCCTAGTCATTGCAAAGTATTAGCAGAGTCAAGCGTTTTTTAAAGGCATCTGACAATGATAATGTAAGTGGCTTTTCAGACTTATGTGGATCTCTCCTTTTTCACATGCAGGACAACGGGCGAGAGCATGAAGGCATTTCAGAGACAATTAGAACAGACAAAAATCTGGCAGGTCAATGGCCAACGAACTGAGAGCTCAACAGCCAGTAAACACAGACTGCTGGATTCTGGTCTAGGAAGTCAGAGTCTAAAAGACAGTTTTTCCTCTCTCTCCAAAGCTTTTATGATTTCAATGAGCCAGAATCTGACTTTGTGCTCTTGTTGGATTCTGTCCACACTTACTAGAGATTCAAACACTCACCTCATCAGTAAGAAACTCCTTACTCAGACCAAAGTCTGTCAGCACCACATGGCCATCAGAATCGAGGAGAATATTCTCAAGTTTTATATCCCGATATATAATTCCCAACTGCAAACAGAATGAAAGAAAAAGTATTTCCAAATGAGTGTAACCAAATCAAGGAGACATTGTTGAATACATTTAAATATAAAACTAGCAAAATTCCTATTATTAAGGTAATCTGACACTTGAAAGTTTCCTCTCAAATATGACATTTTTAAAATGCTTTCAAATGAACAACTTTGACTTAAAAATTCAGAAATTGTGCTGTGCATTAACTTCTTAGAATTTAAAGGACATACTAAATACTTTGAATCTAAAAGTGACTGAATACTTGCTGTTGAGTGAAAAACTCAAGTTCAGCTGATACTTCTGTAATATGTTCTAGATCATAAACATCTACTTACTACTTCTAACGAAAACACATTTTATGTCTACAGTTGTGCCAAAATTTCAGAGCTCTGCTGTTTAATTGTATCAAAACAAGGACAACTGAACAACAGTGCAATCAAAACACTGCTCATGGTGACTATAAACTAGTTTTACTGACATGAACCACTTCATAAGGATTTCTAAAAATTAACAATCATTTGCCAAAACAACAATCTGCACACTGCAGACAAAAACTTGTAGCCTTAATCTAGTGCACACAAATACTTCACTGGGAAGTAATTCTAATTATACATATGATTATACTTACTATATCATATGTTATGTTGTTATATATATTATAATTATCATATGTTATCTACAATATTATACTATATGTGATGTTATATATAATATTATTATATTGTTATATTATACATACTAATTATACATATACATATATAATGCCTCACTGCTGGATAAAGTTACTTTGAATTTAAAACCATCCAGAAAATAAAAATAGTCCTTACTATCTTTATAGAATGCGAGACGAATACAGTTGTACTTACACAAAATCAACACTAGGATAGTTACTTTACCTTGTGGAGATGTTCAAGTGCCAAAACAATTTCCCCAATGTAAATTTGCACCTCATTTTCTGAGAATCTCTCTCTGTGTGAAAGGTGAGTAAATAATTCTCCTCCATTTATGTAGTCTAAAAATTAGAACAAATAACCTTATAGTTTCACTTTCTGACAACTTAATTTTCTTATTGGAATATTAATAGCTACTTTGTGAGCTGTTAAATGATGTTCCGCAATCAGATGCTTTTATTTTATTGTACTTTAATAATATTTAATCTTGTTGCATAATACTATTTCCTTCTTAGAAGGCTGACAGAAGAACATAACCAACTTTTAATTAAGCAACAAAGCCATAAAGTAAGTCTCAAATATCCATAAATTATAAATATTAGGTGGTTTTTTTCCCAGATCAGGCCTCTCATTATTTAGGAATATGAAAAGAAAGGACTACAAATGACACCTACAAATAGAAAACTTGTGCATTCTTATAAAATTTTTAAGAGCAACAAGGCAGGCTGACAAAGAAAGGCAATTCAGAAAACAGCTACTGGGTGAAATACTCAGCTACGGGCAATTACAAGTTTTGCCCTTCACCAGGGGAACTTAAGAGCAAAACTTAGTATTTCCACATATATTCCCTCACGGAAACCACACTTTCATTCTTCGCAGGTTAGGATACAAGGGTTTTCCCACAGTCAAGAAGGGGGGAGAAAGGTAATTATTACAAACGAGTTCCACTGCAACACAAATTTTAGAGGTAGCGCTGTCTGTGCCAGCAGTATACATCATCAGTGCAGCCATTAATTTGCAAGCCTACAGCTCCCATATCGTATTTTGAGTCTCCATATACAGAGCAGGGAATGTGCTCCACAACATCTTATTCAACATTTTATCAAATACAGTTTCTATAGCTTCGCTGGTGTAACATACAATAAGATTGGACCTTTTTCACGGATTTATAAGTCAATATTTAGAAGGAGAAAGCACACATATAAAAATTACAGCCATTCTGATCTCTCTCCTCTCTTTAGTTCTCCAGTTCCCTTTTTAGGAAGGAATCTTAGTGAAATCAAAATGTGAAGATTATTTGCCTAAACCAGTAAGTATATGAAAAAAATATAATAAAGTATAATAATCCATGCATTATAATTGTTTCTCTCTTTAAAAAAAAAAAAACAAAAAACAACAAAAAACAACCAAACTTCAGCATTCTAATCACAGAGAAAACAAAGATAAGCAATTTTTTTTAAACATTTCTTATCAGAACTGCTAACTTAGCACAAGGTGAGAACAGAATTCCTAGTCAGACTGCAACAGATACAAATCAAAACTTCCACTGTAGTGGCAGAACAAGGAGACATTTATTCAGATTATAACACTAACCACAATCCAATGACACAATCAACTTTCAAATTCTTGGTACTAGATTAAATGCACCACCGACACAATAGGAAAAAAAAAGTTACTTTCATATAAACTCTGTTTGTTCAGATTTTTCTTATTTTTTAAGTATTAGTAGGTCAACCTTGTGTGGCAAGCTTTGTGTAGAACTGGTACTCCCATGGATACAATACTTTGCTCTTTCATTCACAGCTTAAAGTCAACCTAAAAACTGGAATCAGCTCCAAACCCTGTATTCTGGAACTCTGGCAGAAATGCGGCTGCATGTCCGCACTCGATCCAAACTAAATTCACACAGCTATGGAATCTGAAGACATGAAGAAGTGTATTAAAATACACTGAGGCTCCAATTCTAAAAGCTCTTAAATCTGAAATGACACATTGCTCATACACCAGGTTCGGCCAAGTGTAAAAATAAAGGCAGAGTCTGGTTCCTCTGAAAATTCAGAGGTCTCGAACACAAAAACTCCAAAACTAAATCAAAGAGGTGTTCTACAAAGACTTACAGTGAGACACACAAAAAACCTGCAACAAACAGTTATCTTCTTTGTCAAGAGAGGGTGTGAAGCCAAGTTGAATTATAAAGTACCTTTAGGCTACGTTAGGTAGAAGAGATTTTTCACTATTACAAAAAGTGGTTAAAAGAAATTTTAACTCCCTTTAATCATTCCCATTTTCTGCTAACAAAAGGAGGAGAAAAGGACCTTTCTGGCCCCAAGTGATATTTTGAGAATGGACTCATGTAGACTTTGTGGGAAAGAAAAAAAACTGGAAAAAAAAGCCTTTAATTATGCATCAACTTTGAATTTCTTGCTTTAAATATCACCTTCACATGGTGTTACAGTGGGCAGGTTCCCCACCTGCACTGTCTGTTATGTAATGATCTTCAGAACTACTGGGCTCCTTCCTCTTTGACTTACAAGAATATAACATCAAGCTTTTAATTTGCTCTTCATATAGGTTCTTCTGGCATACTAATCCTTGTCACCTTGATTTCTCTATTACTACATATGTATTTTTAGGTACCTTGAACTTAGGTGTGACAGTTTTTTTTGTTTAGTTTGCAAGGGATTTTTCTTCTAATTGTATCTAAACTGCCATTCTAGCCAAAAATATCTGGATTTCAGGAATGGCACTATTAATTATTTACAATAAATGTTCACATTGTCTCATTTAATCTTTATTTTTTTTCCCAAGTTATTAATCAATAACTCTAAAAAATTCGTAGAGGTTTAGCATCAAGGAATCACAGAATTATTGAACTGCTTTCTCTCTTTAGCATTTTCCAGCCTATTACAATATTTTTATATACTTCTTTAATGTCCTAGTCACAGGAATTTGTACAAATCCTTAGTAAAATGAATGTAGTGAATACTCCTTTTAAGCATGAACTCCTAAATTTTCTCACTGCAGTACATGAAACTAAGGTACGGGCATAGAACACACTCCTAAAAACTGACAGTCAGTGGTGTTGATTCATTACATGAAGTTTTATAAATCTAATCTCTAAATCAGCCTGTTAACAAAGATTTAATAAACTGAAGTTATGCGCAAGAACGAATTACAAAACTTGCCCTTCAATCAAAGGACCGTTCACTTCAAACAATTCACTATAAAAATGTATTCTGCATCCAAGCCTTGACTGGATCGTTCATTTTCCAGCTCTTTTACAATACTCCTAAGTATTTTTAAAAGTTCTTGTAATGTTGTTGCAAAACATCTTATATGCTAAACAAAATTTGCTTCTGATCTGAAAGGTAGTACCAAGCCTTATGAACAAACTCTACTTCCAGCACAGGAATGTGTGTTTCTGGACTGCCTCTTAACACTCAAAAATTGAAACATGCAAGTATCTCAATATTCAAAGATCAAATTGTTTCACAGCGAGGTTTTGGCAGCAAATGCTTTCTGAAGCAGTAACGTTTAGAGTCAATTTTAATTCTCTAGCTACTGAAGGAAATGTTCTTCATTGTTAGGAAAAATCCTTCATTTTCCTTAGAAAGACAGGAGTCTTCAAATGGCAATGAAATTTGGGGTTAAAGCAAAAGGAATATAATTCCATGACCTCGGTGCCTCTCCCCAAACTGTCACTGCCCTGAAAAAGGATACTGGTATGGAAAAGACACACACACACAAGTTATTTCTGAGCTGAAAACCCTAGCAAAGCTCTTGGTCAGGTCTTCTGCCAATCTTGCAAATGCCACAGAAATAGATGTGGTTCTTCACATCAAAAGGGAAAGCAAAACGGTAAGGACAGAAGTGGGATGAGGCACGTTCCAATAAGGACTGCTATACAATATTCATTATCAAGCACCTCTCATAAACAAAGATTTACAGAAGTTGCTGGTAGAATCTACCAAAAGGAAGTATCGCAATGCATGAATCAAGAAACTGATTCACAGTACAAGTATTTTCACCAGCATTTTGCAGCAGGAAACTGTACCAGCAACTTGTAGATTCTAGTATTGTAAGGAATTTGACCAGATATAAATGAAAGCCCAATCACCTTTAAAAGGCATCGCCCACATTTCAAGCGCATTTGTTCAGAAAAAAAGATCCGCCTGATACAACTATTCAGTTTGTGGCATTTCAGTGCTAAAACAGTGTACAAATTGGTCGGCGTAGTGACAGGTAGCCTTGTCCTCTCAGACACATGACAACATTCAAAGCCACTGATCGCGCTAAGAACACTATACAACACATTCTTAGGGTAAAATGTGCAGTATGTTTAAACTAGGAGGTTTTCTGCTGCTTAAATATTTCCTTGCTTTTTTCTTCTTTCCTATCAACTAATCCCACTAATAAAGTCATGTTTGTTCATAAGCTATGTTTGGTGACCCCATCTCATCAATGGCCTCTGCCACACACACAACGGCAGCATGGAGGGAAAAGATGAATCACTTTAATGCCCATACTCATAAAGAACTTCATTTGTGGTAGCAGTTTGTCTGAAAATCTATTGAAAAAAAATAATGCAGTATATAATAATGGGTTTAAGAGTGCAAATCAAATTTTCCTCTTCTACATGTGAATAGAAAGTATTTCTCTGGTTTAGGTACTTACATACATTCTTTTGCTGCATGTAACTGATAATACTTCCCCTCTGCCCCCCCAAGTCAGAGTAGCACACTGAAGCTGAAACAGGAAAACCACAAACACAGACACTGTTGAAAATGAACAGTGTTTTACTTCCTATGGTCTCTCTCACGCAATCTCCAAACGCATAGCAGTGAAGACCACAAAAAAAAAAATTCCTACAAAATGTGAAGGAGATAAAAAAAGAAAAAGATTTTATTTTTTTTTTTCACAAACTTAAAACTTGAATCCTGAAAACTACTCACCTAAAATGAGATGAAGCTTTGTGTCTGTCTGGAAGGCATAATGTAACGTGACCAAAAATGGGGATTGCCTAATGTGCTCCAACACTTGTCGTTCCGTCCTTGTGTGCTCAGTTGTTTTTGCTTTTTGAACTATTGTTGCTTTCTTCAGTACTTTCATAGCGTACAGCTTTCCAGCATCATGGCCGCTTACTTTCCTTACTAGGAACACTTTTCCATAGGCTTAAGGAAAAAGTAGGGAAAACATCATTATTATTTTCAGTTACTCTTGGTTATGGCAAACTCAGGCTAAAATCTTCCAAAACACATTTTTTGTTTCAGACTGACCTTTTCTGAGCAAAATTTCAACCAAATGAGCTTAGTGACTGAACACA